GGCCCTGGATCCAGACCAAGATGGAGGTGGGTCCCATCATGGGAGGCAGGGAGAGGCCTTCCACCCTTCCCAGCATCATCCCAGCCAGTCAACCCTGCCCTGTCTCCTCCTGGATGGAACCCATGGAGGACTGTGGGTCCTGAGTCCACGACTGGTCTGCTGCCCTATGGAGAGTGTGGAGTCTGCAGGGAAGGCCTGTGGTTTGATCCCAATATCTTGCTTGAGAGCAAAGACCCACACAGAGACACCACTAAAGGATCAGTGCCTAGGTGACTGACTCAGCTGACCCTTTGGCTTATGTGGCCAACCAGGGCCCCCTTACTCCTGAGCCACGAGCCTGGTCGGAGGATGGTCTTCCTAGAGATATAGCTGAGCTTGGGGCAAGCATGGAATTTTTTGCTGAATTGTTGAGCCAGGTATTGGGGTAAAATAGGTCAGGGAAGGGACCCTGGTTGGGTTAGAGAGTGATGTCCCTCTGAGCTCCTTGAGGGCAGAAACCATGTCGAGTTCACGTTTGTGTCTCCCCTGCACCCCACATTGTGCATAGTAGGTGTTCAGGAAATATTTGCTGGGTTGAATTGAGTGTACACAAAGTGCTTTCACATCGAAGGTTTGTTTCCATTGGATGATGGACGGACAGAAACAAGGATTAGGCCAGACCCACAGAAACAGGTGGGATTAGATGGGCAAGGCCAGCATCCCAGGAGCAGAACAGCAGGAGCATGGCCACTGAGGGGGTGAGCCAGATACTCTGAGGCTGTGAGGAACCCAGTTCAGTGGGAGAGAGTCCCTGAGATGGATGGTCATTGGGAAGGAAGTTTGGATGACAAGCAGAGAAGTGAACATTTAGGTTAGCAACTGACCTCACATCCTTTCCTGAGGCTGAGAGGTACCCAAGAGATGGGAGGTAGTCGTGTGGTGATAACAAGTCTTGTTAGACTCCTTTATGGTGCTATTTCCATACCAAGAATCAACTGAGGGGTTGGCCAGTGACCTGGGAACCCCAGTCTCCACCCCAGGGGCACAGAGTGGGGTGGTCTGACAAGGTCCTCCTTCCTGGGTGAGCAGGAGATCGGCAGGATCTCTATCGAGATGCACGGGACCCTGGAGGACCAGCTCAGCCACCTGCGGCAGTACGAGAAGAGCATCGTCAACTACAAGCCCAAGATCGACCAGCTGGAGGGCGACCACCAGCTCATCCAGGAGGCGCTCATCTTCGACAATAAGCACACCAACTACACCATGGAGGTGGGTGGCGCCAGCCTCGCTTCTCTGGGCAGGGAGCCCCAGGTCCCCTTCCACTCCCCATTCTGGGCTGGGGTGGGGGGAGGTTACCCATCTTCCAAGGAAACTAGTCGTACTAGGAGGGTACACTCTGGCTTTGGGGTGAGGGGATACTCACTTCTCCTCACCCTGGAGCTGTGGGTCTTCAGCCCTCAGGGCCTTCTGAACTTCCCAGGGAGCTTATTGAGAGTGCAGATTTCCAGGCCCTGTCTCCAGAATTTGATGCACTAAGTCTGGGTTGGGGCTCAGGCATCTGAATTTTCAACCAGCACCTGGTAATTCTGAGGCTGATGGTCTCCAAATGCTGGCTTGGCATCTGTTCTAAATCACTGCTTGTTTTGACCATGAAGGCACGTGCACGCGCGCGTGTGTGTGTGTGTTTATGGAGTTGGATGTTCAGAAAAGTACCCACTTTTTTGTCCTTTAATCTCACTCCCACCCCGTTTTCATACCATATTTATTTTTTAATTTAACTTGGGACTAAAATGTAGATAGCATACATTTTATTTGTACAGTATTTAGCAATCACCCAAGGTGGGGTTTTATGGGGCTTTTTTTTCTTTTTTTGCTTTTTGTTAAATGCTTGCAGAAAAAAATAGCAATACAATTTGACAGTAGTACCTGCACCCAAAACACTGACAAGAATCATAGTGAAGCTAAAATAATTGCTTACCAGTATTTTGAGAGGTAACAAATAGAATATGGGTCGAGACTGCATAAAAAATGCTGGTTGAATATCTGAGGTAAATGATATTCAATCAAGATTTTTTTTCTTCCTGACCTGACCACACTGGCCTTTCTGCTCTCTGCTGTCCCAAGCAGAGGCCACCACCCTGCTGTGCTTCCCCCTTCATCATCTGGGTCCTCTCTCCTGGTGTGTTGTCTCTGTCTTGGTTCTCCTGCCTCTGGTGACCCAGACAAAAGGTCAGGTTTGATTGCTTTGGCCATTTTGACGGTCAGGGAAAGGAGTAGGCAGGGGCAGCCCCGGCCCAGGCCTGGGACCCCTTTGCTGACAGGCCCTGCCCACCCGCAGCACATCCGCGTGGGCTGGGAGCAGCTCCTCACCACCATTGCCAGGACCATCAATGAGGTGGAGAACCAGATCCTGACCAGGGATGCCAAGGGCATCAGCCAGGAGCAGATGAATGAGTTCCGGGCCTCCTTCAACCACTTTGACCGGGTGAGCCCCACCCCCTGTTCTTGCTTAGAGCAGCCCCAGCCCCTGCCCCAGGGCCCTGGAGGGCACTGCCCAGGGCGTGATCCTGGTTCCTGGGCAAGTGAGGAGGAGAAGGAGGGGAGGGAGGGAGGAACTGCAGTCAGCCTGCCCTGACTCTGCACTGCACCAGCCGGCCTTAGAAGCTGTCCTGGTGTCCCGTGAGCTTCCCTGCTTTCCTGGAGAGGGTGCTTGTATTGTGGGTGAAGAGAGGGCCTTTGACTCCTGACCTTTGCTGACCCTTGCTCTCCTACCATTAGGAGTCAGCCCCTGGGAGCAAGGCTACCATAGCCTCAAGGGAGGGCCTGCTGCCCCCTGGCCATCCCTTGCCTCTGCTCAGACAGAGTGTAGGCTCCCTCCTCCACCCCCGACCCCTCTCCACCCACCAGGTAGCCTTTAGGACACTCTGCTGGGGTGTCAAAGTTGTCACTCCTGGGCTCTCATCCCAGCCCTGGGACAGGCCAGTTTTATGTGAGCTGCCCCTCCCAGTGCCCTGGGGCTTTGGGGGGGCCACAAGGGGTGGGAGCATGGGCTTAGGTGCTGCCCACCACCCCTGCCTGCTTCACTGCCCTCCAGGCACCTGGGTGGGAGCCATCCTGGGGGGTCGGGGCCTTGAGGCTGGAGGTGGTCTGGGCACTTCTCAGGGAGCTTCTTACTCCCAGGGCTCACGGTGCTCCCCTCTGGCCTGCCTCCCGGAGCAGGGCTACGTGTGCCGGGGAGAGGGTCCCCTCTGGACCTCGTCCGTGTTGTCTAACCGTGTGCACTTTTATTTCCCCTCCTCCCTGCCCCTTCCACCCTCCACCCTCTCCATCCGCATGCCTTTGTCCCTGTGTCTCCCCACACACGCTACCTACCCTCCACTGGGGCATGGCCCACCCCTCCCCTCACGGCCTCCACCTCCCTGGCACCGCATGGCTCGCTGGCTGGCGCACGGCGGCCCCAGGATCACTCCGGCACGCTGGGTCCCGAGGAGTTCAAAGCCTGCCTCATCAGCTTGGGTTATGATATTGGCAACGACCCCCAGGTACTTGCCTCCTGCATGGAGCACGCTAGGGGTGGCATCCGGGGCGAGAAATAACGCGTTTCTCCTTTTTCTTTTCTCTCTCTGTCTGGATCTCCCTGTCTTCTCTTTCCTGTGGGCCGTGGGGCTCGTCTTCTCCTGCTGTCCCCGCCTGGCCCATGTTGGGCTCCTCCTCCCACTACTCCGACCTCTGCCCTCTGCCCTCGGGTGTCTTTCGTGGGAACCTGCTCGGTGCCCCACTTCTCTTCTCGCCGCTCTCCATCCTGTGGACGGATTTTTTGCCTCTCCCTGCTCTGTCTTCCTCCTTCCTGTGGACATTTTGCCTGGATGTGTATTTGCATCCTCCTATGTTCCTCTCCCCTTCCTGACCCCAAACCGTACCCCTCGACCTCCTGGCCATCTGTGCCCTGTCTTCCTGGCCCCGGGCCGGCCCTTCTTCCTCCCGCCTCTGACCCTCCTTGTGTCTCGGTGCCACTGCCCTCACAGAAGAAGACAGGCATGATGGACATGGATGATTTCCGCGCCTGCCTTATCTCCATGGGTTACAACATGGTAATGTAAACGCCACCCTCTGTCCTGGCGAGGGGCAGCCAGATGACCAGAGAGGCCAAGTCCTGGCCGTGGCAGGCTGAAGGCCCTCAGGCTAGGGGTGCCCTCCCTGGAGGAGCCCCATGCTTCTGGTCTGTGGGGAAGCTGGTGCTCTGAAGGCTGGGCCCAGCACAGGGCCCGTGTGTGTCCTGGAGACCGGACCCTCTTGCCTCTCTCTGCCGGTTTATCTTCTGATATTTACAGTGGAGATGGGCTTTGTACTCCCATTGTGGACGGTGGGGCTGACCCCAAGGCTGCCAGGAAGGAGTGGTGGTGGGCATGCTGGGTGCGGGTTGGCTCTGTTTCAACCTGCACGAGGCATGAGGATTCCCATCTCCGCTCTGATGATGGGTCCAGCCCGGCCTGTGGCCCCTTTGCTGTTGCCTCAAGCCCCTCCTCAACCTTCTTAGCTGCCAGCCCTCCTGCAGGCCTTCTGAGCAGAGCAGGGGCAGCTGGGCAGCCAGGCAACATCTGGGCCATGGTGCGAAGTGCAGAGCCCGCGGGCTGCCCAGGGCAGAGGCCGGGGCGCAGCTCTAGAAGCAGGCATCCTGGGAGTAGATCCCAGCTCTGCCGTCACCAAGTTGGGGGCCAGGATGAGGGGAGGGGGGCCCTACTGGACTCTTGTAAGGGTTAAACGAGGGGCTCGGGAAAGTGCTGAGTCCGTGTCTGACACGTAGAAAGTATGGTGTGGTGGAGCCAGACCACCCGACCGCAAATCTCAGTTCTACACCTGCTGGCTGTGGGACCTGGGGCAAGTAGCTGGGCCTGTCTGGGCCACAGGTTTCTCATCTAGAAACCTGATGGAAGTAATAAAATAAATACCTACCTTATATGATTGTGGTGAGGGTTAAACAAATTAAAATGTACACAGCACTTAGAACAGTGCCTCGTGTAGAGTACACGCTCTAGGACTGTTGTCTTTGTTGCTGTCATTAGTTATTATCAGCATTAGCATTTTTGCTCCAGGCAACTGTAGGGGTTGGGAAGCCTGAACTGGGTTTTCACTATTAGATGTTATGTTCCTATCACACCCAAGTTGGGTCAGGGGCCTGCTGTGCCCTCTCTAACAGCCTTAGGCTACTCTGAGCCCCCAGGGGCTTCAGGTCCAGAGAGAGGGGGCTGTGGTTGAGAGGCTGACTGGCTGGGGTTGGCTCTTCCCTCCAGGGAGAGGCAGAATTTGCCCGCATCATGAGTATCGTGGACCCCAACCGCCTTGGGGTAGTGACGTTCCAGGCCTTCATCGACTTTATGTCCCGTGAGACGGCCGACACAGATACAGCAGACCAAGTCATGGCTTCCTTCAAGATCCTGGCTGGGGACAAGGTGGGTCTGCTAATGTGTGGGCGCTGTGCTGGGGTGGACTGATCTGGAGGGGAGGGCACGAGCACCTCCACTGTCCCTTCTTCCCCCCGGGCCTCAGTGCTGTCCACCTCTACCTATGTAACACCTTGGGGTCAGCTAAGGCACGAAGACACAGCATTAGCTTAAGGGGGTCCCCTGCCGGGGGCACTGCATGTTATACTTGTGATGAAATACTGGTGATGAAATGATGAGTGGTGGCGGGCAGTAGTCAGTGGGGTATGTGTTTGGGTGATGAAAAGTCCATCTGGGAACTCGGATTTTACCTTTCCATCATTCTGGGCACAAAGCATGGCATGTAGGTGAGGAACAGGAAGGAAGCATCTCTCAGTGTTCTACACTGAGCAGCATGCAGCTTCAATTTCCCATATCTCCCAAGTTACCTGCGATGCCCTGCCTGAGAGTGGAAAAGTGGGAGCACCCAGGGGAAATTGGGGGCAGAGGGATCTAGAGGCCAGTTTCCCTTTCAGTAAAATTCATAGGATAATCCTTATGCCATCCTCTCTAAAGCCAATAGGGAGTACAGTTTCTGAAATGTCTCAATCTATAAGGAAATAAAGACTCAAGCAACCAAGAGGTTCCTAAAGGTCTCATTTAAGTTCGAGGACACCCTGCTAGAGTCATAGCACCTTGAAGCTGTGGAAGGACCATCAGAAACCACTCTGTTGAAGTGAATCATTTCGTAGAGGAGGTCTCTGGGGCGCAGAAGGGGACCTGGTCTCCCGACATTTGGAGTGACCAGAGGGCAACCCCTTCCTCCTTCAGACTGGTTCCTAGGGGACTCTGGCAGAAGTAGGACATGAAGCTGGGGGCCACCTTGTGGGTCAGAGCCCTTGGGCAATTCTGGAGCCTCAAACTCCCAAAAGAAGCAGCTTCCAAGTGGACTTTCATAGGCAAGCCCAAGGCATGGAGAAAGCAGAAATCCCGATTGGGAACCAGGCAAGGTGGGGAGGGTCTGCATTTTGCAAACATGGTTAAGACAGCTGTATGTGCCAATGATGCGCAGACCTGGATGCTCATGTAATTTGCTGGAATCGTGTGACCTCCACAGAACCCAGCTGAGTGGGTGTTGTGAGGTCCTACTCTGTTCCACCAGGTATTGGTGGAAGTGGTGACATTGCTCCAGCCATGGTTGTTGCAGGCTTGAGTAATACATAAGACTATAGATGCGATTAGCACTTTGAATTAACTTGGGAACAGGCTAAAGTAGTTATTGAAGTGTAAAACATAAGAGGATATATAAATGTAAATATTCATATTTATATATATAAATATGTATATACGCATAGATATGTATTTTTATATCCAGAAGTACAGGAGAGGGCCAGAATGAGATTGGGACAGGGTAACTAACATCATGAGTGAGGTTTACGGCCTCCGGGCTTTGCAGCTGGTCTGCTTTCCGGCCGTCAGGCTTTCCGGCCGCTCTGACCGCCATTTCTCTGCAGAACTACATCACGGTGGACGAGCTGCGTCGTGAGCTGCCGCCGGATCAGGCTGAGTACTGCATCGCACGAATGGCCCCCTACACCGGCCCTGACGCCGTGCCCGGTGCTCTGGACTACATGTCCTTCTCCACGGCGCTGTACGGCGAGAGTGACCTCTAACCTGCCCCGCCCAGCCCGCGCCCTCACCCTCGCCCGGCCGCTGTACAAGCCCCGCCCTGCGCCTCCGCTGTCCCCTCTCCCGCCCGGGTTCGGTTTCCGTGCTTCGCCTCCCAAGTAGGGGCGAGCTGGGACCCACGTGGCATCGAGCCTCCCTGCCCGCGAAGTGACAGTTTACAAAATTATTTTCTGCAAAAAAGAAAAAAAAAAGTTACGTTAAAAAAAGTAAAAAACCAAAAAACCACATATTTTATTATAGAAAAAGTATTTTTTTCTCCACCAGACTTAAATGGAAAAGAGGAAAAATTAACTATTTGCACCGAAATATTTTGTTTTGTTGTGACATAGGAAAATAACCAAGCACAATGTTATATTCCATTCTTTTTATCGATTTTTTTTTTCTATCTGTACCATCTGCTGTATTCCTTTCTCCAATCTCATGTCCACCTTGATGTGGGAGTGGGGGGTGGGGGTAGGGGATAATCTTGTCAAAAGGCACATTGGTGCATGTGTGTTTGCTAGCTCACTTGTCCATGAAAATATTTTATGATATTAAAGAAAATCTTTTGAAATGGCTGTTTTTTATGGAAGAGAACTTATGTGGCTTATCTTCTGATTTTTAAGGCCAGAGGTGTAATTAGCCTCTTTTTCAGCACACACTTTTTAAAAAATATTGCTTATTAAAAATGGTCAGGACCAAATTGGTGAGTGTGGCCAACTTTGATACTGCTTGGCGCACACCATATTAAAGCAACAATACTCCCATGTCAGCTCTTTGCTTGTTATTTTCCAGAAGTGTGTGTGTGGGGTCAGGGATGGTGTTCGGCACTGGTACTCACCCCTAAAATGCCTTTCACCTTGGCACATTCAACCTTCTTACACTTCAGTTTCATTTTTAAAAGGAAACGGTGGTTTCCTCACAAGGTTCATATGAGTTGAAAATAAGGCCATGGGTATGTAAGGGACTCTTTGGTGATAATCTCCACCTTTGTTTCCCACAGCATCAAACAGTTTTGTGACATCTGTATGTCCCCATTCCTTTTATTTTTGCCACAGGAGACACACTCCCAGTAAGGGTCCTCTGCTTGCTATTCAGACTGTCCCACAGACAGCAGCTGTCTGGCATCACCTGGGAGCTTGTTGGAAATTTGGTCTCTCAGGCCCTACCCCAGACCTTATGAATCAGAATCTGCATTTTTAACGAGATCCCTGGGGATCTGTGTGCATTGCTCTAGCTTCTCCTGTTTTTGCTTCTTACCTATCTTTCCTCCCCGAGGCTATCTTTTACTCACAGTACAGGCAATGAAGACTGTCAGTAATGATCTCAATAATAGTAACAGTGCTGTGGTTCACAGAAGTGTAATTTAGCAGCTGAAGCTCAAGGTGTGTGTTCTGGTTATGGCTGTGTCTAGGAGTCAGTTTGGTGTAGTGCTTACAGACAGCTGGGTCTGTGGAGTCTGACTGCTGGAGTTCAAATCCATGACTGCCATTTCCCAATTGGGTAACTTAGCACTACAGTTCCCATATCGATCACCAGGGGATGACAGTGCTGTTGGAGAGTCAATGCTATGATATATAGAGCTCCTGAATACTGGTGCATCTAAATGTTAGCTGTGATCAATCTTTTAAATTTCAAGGGTTTATTCAGTTGAAGGATCTCTTAAAAAGAGAAACCTTAACATGATATGTCCCCTCATTTAAGAGGACTAAGACTAACTAACTTATTGAACTGGGGCCAAAGATGATGGTCTTCAGTTGTGAGGCCCTCTTGTTTAGGAATTCATTCCGTGAGTTTCTGGAATACCCGTTGCCCTGGGAAACAGGCAAGGCTGCTCAGGAGAAAGGATATTGGGAGAGAGGTTGGCATTTGCTTTGGGAAACATTCCTATAGGTTTTCCTACTGGCAGGTTAAAAGTCCAGTAAATGCTCAACGTGGGTCTGCTGTGACTACAGCTCCGTGGGGAAAACTGTTGAACAAGGCCAGAGCCTGATCTCAGTCTTTTGAGAGACGCCAATACACAAGATACCTTGTTTTAGCTATTTACATGCAAGTATACCCACAGGTGTACTGGTATAGGAGTTGAGAGGGAAATTGTCTCAACCAGAAAGTTTCCTAAACTCAGGCTGCAAGCACTTTAATAAGCTTCGATTTCCAGAGGTAGGGTCAATTAAAAAAAATGTGTAAGAGTCATTTGAAAAAAGTGTGTTTACAGAGTTATTCCACAACCTTTAAGAGTTTGAGTTTCTCAGTGTTCAGGGGTGCTTATTGTGTGCAAAGGACAATAATCAATTTTCAATCTGTTAAAGAGGTAAAATCTTCAAAAATCTATTTCTTAAGCTTTTGCTGTCATCATGGACATCTTATCGAAAATGTAATTTTTTTTCCTGTAAAAATAAAAACACTCTTGTGTGTCCTCATCATTCATACATTTAACAGATTTAATCTCCCCCAAACAACCCCATTTGCAAACTTCATAAATTCCTTTAAATATTTTAAACATATTTACAAGTTTTAATAATATTTTCCAGGACAGCAGACTCTCAACCTAGGCAGATTCAAATCCAAGCAGCAAAGGCTCACTCAGCACAAAGCAACTGTAATTATATGCATGTAGTAAATCAAGTTCTCTGAAACAGTTCAAAGCTGTTTACTGACAATTCTCTTATACCTCCAAAAGTAAAACCACACGTCTGATTTCAGTTAAACATTTCAGATGAAAAACCGCAAAGTGAATATATGCCAGGTTCTGTGATGTGTTCAAGCACTGCAAATTAATCCATGGTATGTCATGATGTACACAGAACTGCTGGACACCATCAGAGTATTAGTACTAGGAGTTTGATCTGCTTCGTCTGTTTACTTATTTCTAAATAGCTGATTTGAAGTCCCTTTACTACTCACTGCTGGTTTTGGGGGGTCAAAGGTTCAGAATTGTGATTTATGCATACATGTATTATATCACTTGGAGATTCTAAACCAGCACACGAGATGGAGTGCTCACACTTCCAGGTTCCACCCAAGGCACAGGTGAGCTCATGGCATCACCTCTAGTAGTCAAATACTCTCTGCTATGTCCCAGGGTCCCTGAGCCCATGCCTTTCATCTGGTATTTATTTTGCAATCCTTTGCATCACTCACTCCCAAGGCATCTTTTAGATTTCACCTTTGTCCAATTTTCATCGTAACCTTTTCCAGCTTACTTTTAATGGTTGGGTAGATCAAATTCTCTACCCCCATCCAGGTGTCAGTTCATTGTTCCTGCATCAAAGGGATGAATTCATTATATCTCTTTCATACTTGTATGCAAAGTGCATTTCTTTTGTATTTTTATCTGCTTTTGCCCAGATGTTTATAGGGACTTAGTTGACAGCCTTGTGGAGGCCGAGCTACAAAAATAGCTCCTCTCTTTGGCCTATCAAACCCTTAGCAAAATCCTAATGACAATTCCAAGGACCAGGTCTGTCTCAGGAGCATGCTGTGTCTTCCATCACTGGGCCAGCTCAGAGCTGTCCCCTGGACATGGGATCAGTGCCCAACGTGTGCAGTCAGTGGCTCAGTGAGTTTCCAGTACGGAAAACAGATAAGGTTTCCTTAGGTTGTAAGGAGAGATTGGAGGCTTCCTTAGTTCTTTGGCCTCTGCCATGCCCTCTGGTATTCAGCATGGAGGGTGTCCAAGGGTAGCATGAGGGTAGGTGCATCTCTGAGCTGCTAATGTATTACAATGAAGTCTACTGAAAGTTGAATCTTATGCCATCTTGGGCCTGGTTAGTTCTAACCAGTTTACCTCAATTGCTCTATCATTCTTTTAATGGTTGTACCCTGCACCCTTCCCTCCTGTCTCAGTACCCACTTATATAAGCTCCTTCCCTCCCTACCTCACTGCTTTTGCCCCCTGAGATTACCTTCCAAGGAAAACCATTTGTTCCTAAATCCTTGTCTCAGGGTCTGTTATTAGGGGAAATCCAAACCAAGCCAGTGGCTTCCCCAGGCCTGTTCCCTTGTCATCCTTCTCCCTTAGTGACCTACTAGTCCTTGTTTAACAACCTGATGTCTAGGGGAAAAAAAGTCCTGGTTTGCAGATTTCCATGGTGTAAATCCTCCCAGCAGCGCCAACCTCCAACACCAAGCTGATGTCAGTGAGACCACGGAGCAGAGTGGAGGTGCCCACTGCTGGCCCCCAGGAGCAGTGTGAGCCTATCCTGTGCAATGCAGCTGCTGTGACCCTTGCTACGCTCCACTGCGGGTGTCTGCTGCTACTCCGCGTCCCTTCTGTGCTATCTTATCACAGCACTTAGTGGAGTATCCACCCATCGCAGGTACAAATATTTGTTGAGCCTATTGACTGAAAAAAATGCTCAGCCTAAAAGTTGAGAATTGTTTTATTCGGGGACCTTACTGAGAACCATAGCCCAGGACAGCAGCCTCTCAGATTACTCTGAGGAGCTATTGTAAAGAGGTAAGGGAGGAGCCAGGGTACACAGTTTCTCCTGGGGAAAAAACAAACCAACCCAAGCATATGGTTGAACATGAAAGGATTACTACTAATCACAAAAACAGACATCTGAAGTTAATGATTTTAGTGCTTTTCTATGTATGTGAAGGTGCAGAAGTCTGGGCTTATTGAAATCATTTCTTTGATATACATCTTAACTACCTAGGGCCTGTTTCCTGTTTTTCTCCATCCTGAATTCTCTCAGAGCTCACTGTTGGGGGCGGCTGCAGTGGCTGATGGCTTGGTGGCAGGTAACGTGTTTATTGAAGGGGCAGGCGACATTTTTTGCCCACAAGCCAACAGGAGGAGCAGAGCCATGTGGTGGTATAGTTGAGAACTACTGTCAGGGAGGTGTATCCTGACAGAGAATGGGACCAGTGGGTCTGTGAGGGCTGAAGCCTACCTGGAGGAGGCAGCCTTCCAGCTGAGACTAGAGACTCAAAACATCAACCTCACGTCCACGTCAACTTCAAGGCCTGGCAGGGTCAGACCACACAAGGGTCAAAGCCTGAGCCCACGGAGCGGAGCAGGGGCAGGAGAGGATGGGGGATTATGTCGGGTCCTTGGGGGTCGCATGGTTGCAGCATAGAGGAGGAGAAAGGAGAGGGGTCCCTCAGCCTCTTTGGGGCTTGTCCCCTCACTTCACCCTTGTTTGACCTCCTATCCTTCTGGCTTCCCCTAGGCTGGAACCCAGACAGGCCTCCCCAGTGGCCCCTTCTGTCACGGGCTGTTTTGAAAGCAGGAGCCCTGGCTTGGCCATCCTGTCGGTCCCAGTCTGATGAGACAACATGGAATTCACGTCTTTCCCCAAACTGCCCCCTAGTGGATCTCCTACAGCCACTTTCCCCAGACTCTCGGGTGGGTGGAGGCGCAGGGAGCAGGCTTGGCCAGGAAAGAGCCATGAGCCTGGGAAGGCAACAGGAAACCTACAATTAGAGCTGGGGAGGACGGGAGGTGGAGACAGGTCGGGGAGGCCAAGTTTATTGAGCTGCTCCAGAACCAAGTGAGCTGTGAGCCATGAACCAGGGTTTCCTGGAAGCTTCTGAGCTTGGAGCTGAAAAACAAGAATCCAAATTGAGCTGATGGGAGTAACCTACACAGGAGAATAATTCAGGACCTACAGACCTGAGACAAAAATGACAAACTGGCTTTGACCTTGTTCCCCTCACTTTATCTAGAAGAAAGGAGGCTAGTACAATATGGTGGGAAGTATAGGGGCATTGGGGACCTGCAAACCTGGGTTTGAATCCTGCTGCTGCTAACTAGCTGTGT